TCGGCTGTATGGAAAAGGAGAAAGTGGGGAGGCAGCCCCTGCACCCAGCCCCGCCGCCCGAGGAGGCATCTGTTAGGCTTCAATACTAAAGACCACGGGGTGAGTGACACCTCCACAGCGATCTGGAGGACGGCCATACTAACGGGGCAGCTGCAACCCTCATCTTCCAACACTTCAGCAGATGAAGCCCTGATGCACCATCCCCACACAATGGGGATACCTGAAGGCTTTTTTCCTGCTGCTTGCACCATGTCCAAGCCCTCCCGCTGCAAACAGGCTCCCAAGACCCATCCAGACCCAATGTGCTACCCCAGGAGAACCACTCAACCCCTCACAGGAGGGATTTGTGTGGCTTTTCCCCTCCCAGCCAGGAAAAAACGCATGCTGCGGCTCAGCCAGATCCTCACTCCCACGATGCTGTCCAGATGTGACAAACAACCCATGCCAGCTCAGCTTATAAAAACACTTGATATAGTTATTGTGGGTGGAAACATGACAAACAGGTGGTGCAAGCAATGATTTATGAGTCATTATTATTAATGTTCGACGGCTCAATCCAAATCCCACTGAAGTCAACAAGGGGCCTCTAGTGGGACTTGGCAGCGAGAGAGGGGTCACCAGGAAAGTCGATCTCATCTTGACCCCCACCCGTCCTCCATCTCCCCTTGGAGGGCACGAGGGTGTTAATCCCCATCACTCACTTGCAAGCATGAAAGCAAATTCATTACTGACGGCTAACGAGAAATCCTCACTCCCAGAACAGCACATCCTAAGGGGGGGACGGTGGCACAGGCAGCCCTGACCCCAGCAGCGAGTCCTGGGAGCAGGACAGGGCTTGGAGGGCTCACACGGCTGATGCTCTCCCGGCACAGCCCCAGCCCACACACTCTCTGGCTGCATTCGGGGATGCATCTCTGCAGGGAGCCTGTGACATCCAGGCGGCCAGCCCTTCAGAGCCTCCCCCTCAGCTCCTCTGTGATTTCTGGATCCTCACATCACACATTGCCCTGTGAATAAGCCTCCGGCAATGCCGTTTGCCCAGGGACAGGAGGGCGCCTTGGCCAGTGCACACCCAGGTGCTCCAAAGTTCAAGCTCCCACCCTGCCTAGGGCTGAGCTTTACCGAAACAGCAGCCTGGCAAGGACAAGGCACCCCATGGGCATTGGGGATCTTCATTCTCCGCAGGGCTGGGCATGCCCTGAGGCTCCCTCTGCCCCATCCCAGCCCCGCTGATCCTGCCCGTCATGGAGACGCACCCAGCGATGAGCCAATGGCAGCCCCCGTGCCATTCCCAGCACCACACACACACCCCATAAGCGGTGCCCAGGGCCAGTCCCACAGCGCGGCTGGTTCCAGACACCTCTCCACGGCCACATCAGTATCCAAAATCCCCAGCAAGCAGATTAAGCAGTGGGCGATTAGGACTAGACACAGATTAGCTCAGGCTGAGAACACCGCTGTGGCCAGAGGGATCCCTTTCCCACGGCGTTTGCAGAGAAATCAGATCCCATTTGGAAGCAGCTCTTTTGAGAAAGCAGGTGACCAACTCCCAGGACACGCAGGATCACCCAGGTCCACGCAGAAGCTTATCAGTGACGCCAGCATCGCTCCCACAAACAACCCAGAGCCAGGTCCCCACCTTACGTTTAGCTCCCCGGTGGGTGTTAGCTATTAACTTGTCATGGGCCACGTCTTGGCACTCCAACTCATTAATTAATAACTCTGGTGTCATGGGCCATTTATTAGCTGAAAATATTAATAACTATGAAAAGTCTTGGGACATCCGGCCATTAGCCTTCAGCAAGGAGTCCTGCTGCTCCACGCTGCTCCCGAGTCCCCGCAGCACCGGGTTATTTATTTGGGTACGTGGCAGAGCTGGCGGGGGC